TGATTACAATTTCTCTCACATTTATGGAGCATTACATTTATATATTACAAAGAATCTATTGCAATTGTTGTTACAAACATACACAAGATAAAAAAATACATGCATAAAAAAATATAATGTGTACAACACCTTTTCTTTTTCTTAAATACACTCTATACTTCTTTTTTTTCAAAAAAAAAATCATAAATACACTATTTTTAGGAGAAAGAACTTCTCAATCTAATGTCTTCTTTATTTTTTTATACAAGTTGATATGCAAAGAATTGCAAAGACATGATTATGTTCATGCTAATTTTACAGCATGTTATAACAAGTAGCACTTTAGTGCTTTAGAGAGAAGATAGATAAGATTGACTTGGAAAATATGTTATTAGACACTGAAATTATTAATTCTTTGGTCGTCGCAAATTTTCCACTTCCAACATACATAACAACTAAACAAGCAATTCAACATTGCTGAGTGAAACTATAGATATTTGCAAGATTCTTCTAATAACTTATAGATCCTTTTCCATTCAATTTTTCTTTTGTTGATTTTGTTTGTAATTGATTTTATCCTTAATATTTGCAACTATATAAAACATTCTTTTAAAAAGATACATATCTATAAAAGTTCTTCCCTTGAGTTATTTCATTACCTATGGACGCCACTATAAATATTGTATGCTAAACCATATACTAATATCCAAATTTTTTTACCAAAGACAAACACACACACCATAGGTAACACACCTCCCATAGGTACCTTTAATCCTAGGAGAATTCTAAAATAAGAACTATAGAAAAAGATTGCAATGAAAGTAAAAACACTCTTTGTATAAAATGTTTCCTTAAAAGAAAAACCTACTTTCAAATCAATCTAAAATTTTATAGAAAGAAAATCAATTACCTGTAAAGGAAAATTATTTTAACGAAAATATCTTAAGAAAAATGTTAAAATACTCAAAGTTATAAAATAAGTTATGTTAAACTCATTTTAATTAATTTAAATATTATGTTGATGTGCTAAAATGGATGAAGTTGTCATCTATCCGAATGAGGTGAGATAGATCACCAAGGTTTGTGTAAAAACTAACTAGAGTCAGAGGGTCAATTAAGTGTGGGAAAGCTGTTTGGCACCCCACAACTTCCATATAAATATGGGTACCACATATTTTAATTTTGGGATATTTTCAATTTTTAGCTAGAAAAAAAAAATGATTACCAAAGTAAACAAGAAATTACTTCAATCAAAGAAAATATAAAGCTTTATCATGAAATTTTTTTTACGCTAAACAAGTTTCATGCTTCCCAATAAAAGTTTCTGTTTTTTTTTTTTATGCATTGCTAAAAAACATAACAACAAATCCTAAAAAAATAAAAAATAAAAAAACCTGAATTATAACTTGTTGAAATAATTCAACAAAGACTTTGGTTTCATCGAGCATATAAACAAAAAAATGTGCAGTTGGAAGAATGGCAGGTTGAAAGAAAACTATGCAAAAAAAACTTCAATTTTCACGTGCTTGTCACTTTACACAGAACAAGGGGAAACAAATAAATGAAGAAAACATGAATGCAACCAATAAATATTATCTTTCTTTAGATTGCTTGCAGATAGATCATAAAAGAAAAGATTAGTAAAGCCACCAAGAAACAACAAAGAATAAAGAAACAAATAAAGAATTGAGATTCACACTCGAAGTTCTTCAATATTCTCAAATAAAAACACACCTGAGGAAATTGAGAAATTCAATCTTATTTATTTGTAAAAGACTTCAAAAATACAAGATTTCCTTGGTTTCTCCTCTGCCTCACACCCTTTTTGCCAACTCTCAATGCTTACTCTGATTCCTCCCGATTTTCTTTTTCTTTTTTTTTTTCTTTTTTTTTTGCACTTTCCTCTATTCTTTTTTCAAATTTTCTGCTCACTTTCTCCCTCTCAATCTCTCAACCTCTTGGATTTCTTCTCTCTTTCTCCCTCTCGATCTCTCCCTTTTTTTCTTCTCACCCTCAATTTTTTGAATGCTCCCTCTAAAGCTGAAGGCCCCCTTTTATATAGAAATGGAGAGACTCAAATCCTTTTCTAATTCTAAGTCCTAATTTAAATCCCTAAAATAACAATCCAATCCTATTTGGAATGGGAATTCTTAGTTCTTCACCGATTTACCCATTTTCAAGTCTAGTGTAATACCCCAAAATTTTGTGGTATTTTAGCATTAAATTGGGGACTTATTTGAGGAAAACTATTGTTTTGGAGCTTAATTATAAAATTTTTAAAAGTTGAGGGACTAAAAAGAAAGGAAATTTGGATAAGGATTACCTGCTTTTTCTTTTTCTTTTTCTTTTTCTTTCTTTTCTTCCTCATCCGCCGCGTGTTTCTGCTTCTGCTTATCTTCTTCCTCCCGAAAGCCCCCCCCCAAGCTGCCGATTGTTTCCCCTTGAGAAACTCGGCAAAAGCTTGAAAATTCTCCTTCTTCTCTTGTTAAATAGCAAGCATAGAACCCAGAAATCCTTTCCCCCATCTGCAGAAAATCCCGATTCTGCTCTGTTCCGTCCCCTGTAGCCGGCCGAAGCTCCCCAGCCACCGCCACCCATTTTTTGGCCGGAACACCGGCAAAGCTCGGGGATTTCTCCCTATTTTCTTGTTCTAGACACCTATTAAACCCAGAATTTTCCAAATCTGGTCTGCTCTTCTTCCCCCGTCCGTGAGCTGCTCTTGTCGGTGGAGAGCTTCTCGGTCTTTCTGGTAAGGAAACAACATGAACTTCACCTTTTCAGCCTTAATTTGGCTTGGGTGCACTTTAATCCCTTTTGGTTTCCTTCAATTTTTGGGTAGATTTCCGTGAGTTTCCCTGCAAATCCCGCCGGCCTCCTTCCCAAACTGCAGCTCCGGTTTCCTTGCTTGTAAATTCTGGTATGATAGCCACTCCTCTAAGACTTAAATTACCCATTTAATTGCTGGGTTTTGTCCATTAGTTGATGCTCTGTGTTGTCCGAATCTGCTGGGATAGGGGATGAATTTGGCAGCCCTTTTAAATGTGTTTTGTGCTTAGTTTATGTAGGAATTTTGTTAATTGGGCTGTTGTGATGTTGTGTAGGAGTAATCTCGTGACTTAGCCATTGTTGGCCAAAGCCGTGGGTCTCCATTGCTTGTCCGGGAAATTGGAATGAATTTTGGTAGCTTTAAGCTATGTTTTTAAGTGTGGTTTAAGTAGAAAATTAGCTTGTTATGATTGTTGTGAGATTTTGGAGAAAAACCCCGTGAATTAGCTATGTTTTGTCAATTTTGGGAGTTGAGGTACTGTTCACATGGTACTGTTCACGGGGTACTGTTCATAGGTACTGTTCACACACCGAGGGTTAACGATTAACGGGGATTTAAAGGTTTAGTTTGTGATATAAGAATGAATTTGGAGACATCCGGTTATGTGGAGATTGATAGAAATAGCACTATGATTAGGGGTAGTGCTAATGATGATTTTACTTGAATTTGTGGTTGTGCGGTATTAATGGTGGAATATTGTGATTAGGTTTTGATCGTTCTGTCACCGTGGCACTTGGGTTAGCCTTTTGTTCTGTGCGAGTGAGGTAAGTAAATTATGGTAAAGCCCTTTGATTTTAAAGCATGTTTTAAACTGTTTTTGAGATGGTGGCAAGCTTTAAACTGATTTTATCAGTATTTAAGTATGATTAAACTGAAATGTAAATTGTGATGGTTTTTATGAGAATTTCATTGTTTTC